AAAAATCTGGCAAATCCGGCTCCGGCCGGATTTGGAAAAATTAAATCCGGTACAGCCCTAATTTATTTAGATCATTATCACAATAATTTAGATCTTCCTATATTTATGAACGGTAATGTGCTCGATGAGTCATCTACCTTTCATCTTCTAGGATTAACTCTTACTTTCTTGGAAACCTTATATGAAATCTGTTGCAAAATTAGCATCTGCTAAGGTCGCACCTTTTTATCAAGCTCAACACTTCCTTACTCTGAATTCTATTCTCTATCTCTATAAATCTCAAATCTGTCCTTGTATGGAATACTATTGTCATATCTGGGGCAGATCTTCTAATGATGCCCTTTCTCCTTTAGGCAAGGTGCAAAAATGCATTGTAAACATAGTTGGACCTGCTCTTGCAAACAACCTCCAACAATTATCACATCGTTGTAGTGTTGCTTCTCTTTCTCTTTTCTACAAATACTATAAGGCTCTAGGCACTGCTCTAAAGAGCTAGAATCTCTTGTGCCATCTACTAAAATTCATGTGTTACTTGTCATTCAATTAAGTCTCATCCTGTGAATGTTCCTAAATACTCCAAAAACTCTTATTTGTCTAGTTGTTTTCCTCAAGTATCAATTCTTTGAAATTTGCTTCCTTCATCATGCTTTCCTGATTCATATAATTTGCAATCTTTTAAGTTGCCTGTCAATCGTTATCTTGGTCTATCATCTTCATCTTATCTCTTCCAGTATCTTCCATCTCTAATAGTGGTTGCTTGCAGCCTTGTTGGAAGCAAAGATGTTAGAAAAAAAAAAAGTTTAAATAAAGCCAAGCCAAAAATGTATCTCTGATTAAGTTTGATTTTAGAGTAAATTATCAAAATGATTAAAGTTAATACCTAAAACAAACAACTATCAATATCATACAGAGTTTTTTTTTTTGTTTTTGTTTTGGGGGGGAGGAGGGGAAGGTAAGTAAAATTTTGTATTTTATATTCCAAGAATGCAAGCTGTAATATATAATGATAATTTAAACACTGGATCTGCTTTAGATTTGTATACAATTTGTTTCTCAATTTCTTAGTGCAGTGCCTTGGATTCAAACTATGAACAATCATCTAAAACATCTATTACTTTATTTATTTTTTCTTAAACAGATTTTTTTTTTTATAATAAAAATAAGATAAATGTTTATCTACTAATTTTAATTTTTATAACCTGACAAACTTATCAAACAAGTTAATCCTAATCAATTGTAATACAATGGCAGGTAATCAGTAATGTATTGTGAAAAAAGTGAAACTTAACTACCTGCCTAAAATTCACTAAATGAGTTTTAGAACTTTTCCTTACTTTGAAATAAATGTGATGCAAAGTATACCTAGATATGTGAATGCAGAGGATACTATTAAATTATAAATAATGTTCAATCTTACAAGCTTTCCTCTTAAAAAAAAAAATCATTGGATTACATATATTATATAAATAATTTACATTTTTTAGAATCACTAAATTTCTCCGAAACCTGAAATACAAAACAGAGTTGTGTGCAAATAACATGTGATTAGCTAAAGTTCTGAACAAAATCAAAAGTTGTTCAATTTTTTAATGGAATAATCAATTTTGTTGATTTTTGCTAGTTTTTTTGTACACTAAACTCTTAATTTCAAGCTTCAATAAAACATAATTCTGGTAAATAAGCAGGGATTTATGCTTTTTTTACAAATTTGATATTTTGGGTTTTTGATATTTTCGATTTTAGCCTTATACTTTGTACACATGTGATGAATAAGGATCATTATATTTTATTTGTTTTTGTATAATTTTTTTTTTTAATGAGTTTTAATAAGTTTGTCTTTAATTTAAAAATAATAAATTTTAGCACATTAAGAAAAACTGTGAGCCAACCAATAAAGTCAAATACAGGTTAATCCTATGAATAGTAAACATATATAGTATTTTTTAATCTTTTTTTTTGTATTACAACTTTACGCGCAAGTCTCAAATAAAAGTATGCTTATTGTCAATTAAAATCTCAAAATTCAATCGTTTAACTTTTAGTCATCAAGTTATTATTCAAACTATCTAATGTTAAACATTAGATTGCTCCATTGGGTCTAAAAGTCAATGAAAATGTGTATATTTCAAAGTTTCTTGTCAGATAAGATAAACTAATTGAAAAATATAAAAATATCATTTTCTGACGGGAACAAGAATAATAGTTTAATGACTAAAAGTTGAACAATTGAGTTTTGAGATTTTGATTGACAATAAGCATACTTTTATTTGAGACTTGCGCATAAAGTTGTAATACAAAAGAAAAAAATTAAAAAATGCTATACATGTTTACTATACAAAAGATTAACCTGTATTTGACTTTAATGGTTGAAACAAAAAAAATCTCACAACAGTTGTGAGATTCTTTTTGTTGAGAATGAAATCCAAGCAAGTAATTTTGACAAATTTGTCTTTTCTTTTCAACCTTACATCATTTAATGTAATGTATTTATGTCAGTGTTTCCAGAAAAATTGTTGTTACTCAAATAAAAGTGCAATTCATTATCAACTTTTTTTAGACCAATTTATGGCATCTAAAAGGAGCAGCTGCTTTTTGTGTCGGTGTTCCTTTCAATTTTTTAATAATAATGAACTTCTTTTAGTTAATTTTTATGTTAGCGAGTTTCTTTTATTTAATTTTACATTTGTGCAGTTACATTAAATCATTTTGCAAGACCATGCTGGGGAAAACCATCCTTTTCATTAATCAATTTTTTATGATGCTTTATCTGATTTTTAGAAATTTCTTCTTTCTATTTAGCAAGTTATAAATAATAGATTTTGGTATTTTTTCCATTTGAAAATGATTTACAATTTTTTTTTACAAATGTTTTTATTTTCAATGCAAATCCAAAAATGCATACACTTGAATTTAAATCCAAAAATGCATTTACTCAATATCTAAGCAAATCTTTACCTTTTTTTCATTATTAATTATAACTAAATTGAAAAAAAAATTTCTAATACATATAAAGAATTAAATTTGCAAGAAAATAGGAATGTATTAAAGTATTCATAGAATGTATTAAATTATTCCTTCTTATTTTTATTTTTATATTTTGTCCAGATTATCAGTTATCGCATGTTTGACACTAAAGAAATTTACCAACAGAATCAATTAATTTATTAGGGCTAAAATTTTTTTCTAAAAATCAGTCATTGTTTTGCATTCAAATCAGTTATATTATTTTGCATTAGAGTTCTCAATTAAAAGCTATTTCTATTTACTTAGAGCAGACGTTTGAGTTTCAAGATGACTTTTTTTTGTATCATTTTATTTTGATACAAAAATGAAACATTTCTCACTACATAAAACATATTGCTATGATGACCTTCATAAATTTTCTATATATATAAATATTATTTTTTCATAATTAAATCAATGTTACTAACTTTTTTAAGCAACCTAACTTCAATTTCTTGTAAGGTTTTAAAAACGGTAAAATGCTCAGAGTGTTTGCTTTTAAATATTTTTCAAAAATGCAAATATTTGTTGTGAAATTCATATACTTTGGTATAATAAAATTTTTTATCACAAAAAAAATCTCTAAAATTTTTTATATTATAAATAAATAATTTAACTAAAATCTTCTGTCAAAATATCAAGGGAATAATCATAACTGTTTTGTGAATTTGTTTTTTATTGTTTTACCTTACCTTTTTCAAAGAATTTAAGTAACCAGTAGATTTGTTTAAACTAGTCAAATATTTTACTTATTTTTATTTTTGCCACTATAATTATACTATTATTAATAAATCAAAATTTTTTATTAATTGTTAAGCAAAGTTGAAGAAGAAAGTTTTTGGCTTTCGATCATATAACAATTGTTTATTTATTTGTAATAGAAAATGTTGTTGATTCAGAAGAATTATTTAGTTTATCTTCAAAGAAAACCTTTCTATTGTAAGGATATACAACAAAAAATTAATAACTAAAAAATCTTACTTACACGAAATAGTTTGTAAACTAAATTAATTTGTGTAACTTGGCTACACAAACTGTGTAAATCTATTCTATTTAAAGTATTTAAATTGAATAGATTTTGAAAATAAGTGTGCTATCTAGAGCACTACTAATTTAGAAATAGAATTATTAAAGTTCAAAAATTAAAATTTTACTTTTATATTTTTAATTTAGATTTTTATGGACCTGTTCAAAAATATAGTTTCAAACCTGTTCAATATAAAGAATCGACTGATTTAGCAATATATTGGGAAGCACCTTTAAATGCTAAAAAGAATAAAGTGTATTATCGTGTTCTCCTTTGCAGCTTAAACATTCCTTGTGACAATTTTTCTCCTAAAACAAAGAAAACTAGTATTGGCTTTAGTGGATTGATACCTAATTTTCTGTACCAGTGCACAATATTTGTGTATAACCAAAATGATGAAACAAACATTTCTCTATCTTCCTCCTTTGCATACAAAACATTTAGTAAAGGTATTTTTGAAAAAAAATTGTATTTTTGGCGAAGGTTTAAATATTTTCAAGATTTGAAGGATTTGTTTATCATTTTATGGTAAATTCTTTTTTTAGATACCTGTCCTGCTCAGTATTTTACTTGTAGGTATTCTCCTGGGTGTATTTTGCTAAATCTTTGTTGTAACAACATTATTGATTGTGTGGACGGAAGCGACGAGCAACTTGAAGCTGATTGCCGTGAGTAAATCACTTTTTTTAATTTTAGTATTCATGTTGAAAAATTTAAAAATTTTAATATTGAATCATATTTGATTCAATTTGAGTGATGGCATTAATCTAATAATGAATAGATTTAAAGATAATTTTTTATAAATTAGGTCTGGTGTGGCATTTTGGTGGTTTCAGTGGTAGCTGTTAGCATCTTTTATCTTTTAAAAAACTTGTTGCTAAATCGTAAATTTTGTGATTATTGGAAAAGAAGTGAATAATTTTTAATTGTCTTCTCTCCAACAATTTTGCACATATTCTTTTATTAATATTTACTCTTTCATGTTATTCACTACATACTCTTTCATGTTATCCACTACATACCCTTTCATGTTATCCACTACATACCCTTTCATGTTATCTACTACATACACTTTTGTGTTATCTACTACATTTACTTTCATGTTATCTACTACATACCCTTTCATGTTATCAGCTACACATAGTTTCCAAACTTTTATTAATGCTCTATATGTAAAAACAATGTTGCCAACTCCTAGTAAATCTTATTATAACATCAACTTTTTTTAAATACTTTCTAAGATCAGAGCTTTATTTACTTTATTTATAAGATAATCTACCTTGTTGTCATCTATAAGATAATCTACCTTGTTATCATCTATAAGATAATCTACCTTGTTATCATCTATAAGATAATCTACCTTGTTATCATCTATAAGATAATCTACCTTGTTATCATCTATAAGATAATCTACCTTGTTATCATCTATAAGATAATCTACCTTGTTATCATCTATAAGATAATCTACCTTGTTATCATCTATAAGATAATCTACCTTGTTATCATCTATAAGATAATCTACCTTGTTATCATCTATAAGATAATCTACCTTGTTATCATCTATAAGATAATCTACCTTGTTATCATCTATAAGATAATCTACCTTGTTATCATCTATAAGATAATCTACCTTGTTATCATCTATAAGATAATCTACCTTGTTATCATCTATAAGATAATCTACCTTGTTATCATCTATAAGATAATCTACCTTGTTATCATCTATAAGATAATCTACCTTGTTATCATCTATAAGATAATCTACCTTGTTATCATCTATAAGATAATCTACCTTGTTATCATCTATAAGATAATCTACCTTGTTATCATCTATAAGATAATCTACCTTGTTATCATCTATAAGATAATCTACCTTGTTATCATCTATAAGATAATCTACCTTGTTATCATCTATAAGATAATCTACCCTGTTATCATCTATAAGATAATCTACCTTGTTATCATCTATAAGATAATCTACCTGGTTATCATCTATAAGATAATCTACCTTGTTATCATCTATAAGATAATCTACCTTGTTATCATCTTTAAGATAATCTACCTTGTTATCATCTATAAGATAATCTACCTTGTTATCATCTATAAGATAATCTACCTTGTTATCATCTATAAGATAATCTACCTTGTTATCATCTATAAGATAATCTACCTTGTTATCATCTATAAGATAATCTACCTTGTTATCATCTATAAGATAATCTACCTTGTTATCATCTATAAGATAATCTACCTTGTTATCATCTATAAGATAATCTACCTTGTTATCATCTATAAGATAATCTACCTTGTTATCATCTATAAGATAATCTACCTTGTTATCATCTATAAGATAATCTACCTTGTTATCATCTATAAGATAATCTACCTTGTTATCATCTATAAGATAATCTACCTTGTTATCATCTATAAGATAATCTACCTTGTTATCATCTATAAGATAATCTACCTTGTTATCATCTATAAGATAATCTACCTTGTTATCATCTATAAGATAATCTACCTTGTTATCATCTATAAGATAATCTACCTTGTTATCATCTATAAGATAATCTACCTTGTTATCATCTATAAGATAATCTACCTTGTTATCATCTATAAGATAATCTACCTTGTTATCATCTATAAGATAATCTACCTTGTTATCATCTATAAGATAATCTACCTTGTTATCATCTATAAGATAATCTACCCTGTTATCATCTATAAGATAATCTACCTTGTTATCATCTATAAGATAATCTACCTGGTTATCATCTATAAGATAATCTACCTTGTTATCATCTATAAGATAATCTACCTTGTTATCATCTATAAGATAATCTACCTTGTTATCATCTATAAGATAATCTACCCTGTTATCATCTATAAGATAATCTACCTTGTTATCATCTATAAGATAATCTACCTGGTTATCATCTATAAGATAATCTACCTTGTTATCATCTATAAGATAATCTACCTTGTTATCATCTTTAAGATAATCTACCTTGTTATCATCTATAAGATAATCTACCTTGTTATCATCTATAAGATAATCTACCTTGTTATCATCTATAAGATAATCTACCCTGTTATCATCTATAAGATAATCTACCTTGTTATCATCTATAAGATAATCTACCTGGTTATCATCTATAAGATAATCTACCTTGTTATCATCTATAAGATAATCTACCCTGTTATCATCTATAAGATAATCTACCTTGTTATCATCTATAAGATAATCTACCTGGTTATCATCTATAAGATAATCTACCTTGTTATCATCTATAAGATAATCTACCTTGTTATCATCTATAAGATAATCTACCTTGTTATCATCTATAAGATAATCTACCCTGTTATCATCTATAAGATAATCTACCTTGTTATCATCTATAAGATAATCTACCTGGTTATCATCTATAAGATAATCTACCTTGTTATCATCTATAAGATAATCTACCTTGTTATCATCTATAAGATAATCTACCTTGTTATCATCTATAAGATAATCTACCTTGTTATCATCTATAAGATAATCTACCTGGTTATCATCTTGTTCATTTGTTCCAGACACTTCATATTATTAAGTATGTAGCTGAATTTTTGTTGATGTAAAATATCATATAATGGACATATATTCTGTACAGTGTTCCTTTAATTTTTTGGGAAGATTTTTTGGGATATCTTTGTGTTAAAAATGGAGATAATTCACTGATCTTGATCCACTGTTTACTTTTGAAAGCAATGGTAACTTTTGCTCCACTTCCTGTTCTAATCATATTTCCTTATAATTGAAACATATCAACATAATATATTAAAAGGATCATCTCAATCTTCTCTTTTAGTACTTCTCTCTTTTTATCCCAAAATATTTTTTTTTTGCCAAAATTTAAATATCGGTTTGACATTATTTATTTTTTGGAAAAAAGTTTAATTGGCAATTTATTAGAATTATTTTGTAAAATATTTTGTATATAGTCACTTTGCCATATTGACTATTTAATAAGGGTTATAGCTGAAAATGGAAGGAAGGCTAGATTTCGCCAGAACCCTGTTTGATTACCAATATTGAGTAAAGTAATTCTGAAATACTTTATGTAATTTAAAACTAGTTTAAGTTTTTAAACCCTGAAAACAAATTTCAGTCTACAGTAATGTTCAGAATTGATAAATGTTTTGATTGATTTTTCTTATGATGATTCAAGTAGTTTTTCTTTTTAATTTTTAGGTCTTCCTCCTGATGTAAAGGGCTTGAAAATAAATGAGAAAAGTGAAAACTCTATCACAATTCAATTTGATGCAATTGATCAACCACAAGAGAGAGTTTTGTCATATGAAGTTGAGAACATAAACTGCAATGTTAAAACTTTTTTCCAGGAATTGAAAGCTTACTATCCACCTATTTATGTTTCATTCGATAATTTAAATTCTGGAACATTTTATAGTTTCAGAGTGCGCTCAAGGAATCTTTCAGGGTATAGTAAGTGGTCTATATTGTTAAACGTGACTACCACAGGAGGTATGTATATTTTATATAAATGTGTATTATTAATGAAAGTGATAATAAATGTTTGCAAAATTATTTAATTTATGAAATGTTCATTGAAATCTTGTTGCAGTTTTTTTAGCTATCAGATTATATTATTATTGTAATTAATTTTTTTCACTAAGCTGCATAAATTGGTGCATCATGATGTAATAAAATCACTACTTAATCTAAATTCTTAAGTTAATCTAATTTAATAATTAATACATATAGTCACAAAAACACAAAACATAAAACAAAAAAAGTTATTTGCTACAAGGGCATTTTTTTACACATAACAATTTTGCAAAGATTCTGAGAAAATGCACTTTTTGTGAGTTTTAACATATTCTAGCTTATAATGCTAAAAAATTAAATGCCCCTTGCCTGTCTGAATAAAAAATTACACAAAAAGAGCATTTATTATGACAGAACACTCAAACCCAACCACAAAAAAAAATTTAATGAAAAAATATTAGTAACTTTAAATTAATACATCTTGCAAAAATTACACAAAAATTAAATTTATTGACTTGGTAAACATTAAGATCCAATAATAAACCATGAATGTTAGATGTCGCTAAGAAAATTCTGGTTTGGTAAGTATTTGAATAAGTTTCTACAGAAGTAGAATTAATTAATGGAGTATTAATGAAGTAATAATGGTTTTTAATTTTGATGTTTTACTTAATATTATAAAAATTTAAGTCATTACATGTTAGTTTCAATAAGAACTTGAATGAAAATAAATGAGTTTCTAAATAATATACCAAATAATAATCTCATTCTAAGAGATAAATGCTGAATTATAGCAAATGATTTTTAATTGCCTTAACAATGAACACTAGATATACTAACAGAGACATCATTATGCTGTTAATGTTCTATTATTTTGTTGGTGAAATCTTTGCACAATTTACTACTAATTAGATTAAAACCAAAAAAAATGTTGTTGAGAATTAGAAACATGGAGATTTAGGAATGCGCCTACAACACTGAAAATGCTTGCGCTGAAAATCATGGAATGTACTTATGACGCTGAAAATGATAGGATGCTATTAAAGAATGCTTTGAAAATTTTAAACATTGTTCAAAGATAAGACTACCCGGTGGGAAATGAGCTAGCGACTAGCTAGCTTTTTAAGGATTTTCAAGCGAATTTTTTTTTCCTTATTTTATTTTTTCCTGATGTCTTCAACATCTTTAAAAATTGGATTTTTAGTATTGAGTCTATCATAATTATGAGAATAATTGAACTTGAAACATAGCGACTTTGTATCAATGTGTCGCTAGCTACATATCGTAGTTTTGTAGCTAGCTTCAAAATATCTACAAAACTATAGCTGGTTGATAGCTACATATCAAATTTTTGAGAAAGCGATTTCATTTTAATATGACGCTAGCTACAATAGCTAGTGGGTCTTTAGCTTATTAAGCTAGCTGTCCTCGTAGTCAAATCGCTGTCTTTATCTTTACAAATATCGATAGCTTTTCGCTAAATTAAAAAAGCTAGCGATCCTCGTGGCCAAATCGCTTTCTTTATCGTTACGATTATAGCTAGCTATTCGCTAGTCGATTTTCCACCTGGTAATTTTAAATGTAAGCTACCATTATACACAAGAATTTCAAATGTATATAACCCATTATACACAAGTTTTAGACTTCTAGATGGCATCTAAAGCTTGTGTTACTTAAACTGTTTTTAACAACAATTATTTTTTTTATAAATCTAATTTTAAATATGAATCTACTATTTTTTATGTTTTATGTTTTTTTATGTTTTATAAAATTTAAGCTGCTATAAAATATTAGTTTGTAATTAATAAAAATGGTATTTGGTAGTTTTGTTGAATTTATTATGAATAATGATTTTTGTATTTTGGAAAGTGGCAATTAAAAGAAGTTAATTTTTATATTTAATTGTTGTTAAAGTTAACTATTTTTATTGATTTGCTTTTATTGTAAACTTTGTTTTTTTGATGCTAAATTTTTTCAAAGTGATTGTCGAGGGTGTTAAAATATTTTAATATTAAAGTAGTTTAGTCACTTCATGGTGATTTTTTTTATTTAGTTGCAGCAACAATGGCTGACGTATCTTTGCCATCACAATACAGCACACACACATTATTTGACCCAACACATGTTACAACATCAAATAAAGGTTATGTTAGTTTTACCAGTAATTACGTTGGAAGTTTTCATAAAAAGTCTGGATGGTTTTCAGGTCAAAGAATTGGTGTTATTGTTGGAATTATTTTAGTAACTGGTCTTATTGGAGCAGGACTTATATGGTTTTATAAAAAAACAATTTTTACCAAAAAAAGAGTTTTAAATAACGATGATAATAATCTTTGTTTGTATTAATTTTAAAGTTTTTAATTTCTTTTTTCAATGAAATTTCTCTGTATTAAAATGGAATATTTTTTTCTTAGCTTGGATATATACCTATATAAAATAAAAACCTTATATAATTGTCCAATAATTTATAGAAAATTAGATTGATGAGAATTTTTGATGTAGACGTATGCAGTATTACTTTTTATGCTTTAGATTTAACACTTTCAGGCATTAATATAAACATTGCGCAAACTCTAAATTTAATTATTTTTATGCTTAGGTCGATTGGAGCCTGGGAATAAAAATACCCAAAAGTTTTCTTTACCCTAAACATAGAAGCAATAAGTTATCTAAATTTTTTTTTTTTACTTAACTATACTAATCTTAATTTCATCGATAATTTTTAAATTTCTTCTTATAATCTTTTAACTTTCAAAAGTTATGGCCACGTTAAATACACACAGCCCTCATTTCAGGGATGGTGGAAACTTCATAATTGACATGAGCATAAACTTATGTTTGGTCTTTTTGTGGCATATTTGTAACATGAAAAAATTTCGCCATTTGTGTGTATCCCATTTTGACCCTCATAACCATCCCATTTAGACCCTCATGAACAAAATTCAATATGCGGAGTGTCGTAAAATAATCCCAAGGTTTTATTTTCTTACTGAAATTTTGTATTTTTTATTTTGGATGACTATTTATACTCGCGACACTTTTTTAAAAATTAACATTTTTACATTTTATAAGTTTTTACGGGCATTTTCAAACAGTCGATGCGAGTAAAAATTTACAAATCATTAACTATATAATAACATCATTACATGTAATGAAAGGTTTTTTATCTATACCGATTGTGCACATTTTTTTTACTAATATTTTTGTTAACTGGTGGTATTTTAAAAACGCACAAATTCGTTATGAAATTAAAAAAACGTGGTTTTTAAACATGATAGCGTTGAGGCCCAATAAACAGCAATTAGAAATTTGTTAGATGATTTTTTATCTCATACAGTTCACCCACTTCAACCCCTGGCTGTGTACAAAATTAGCTAAGTTTCCTGAGCGACCAATATTCTTGTTAACCTCCTGCCATTATGTCTGAGAGCTTCATATAGTCGTATCCGTAAATAAAACTGTTGAGCTGGAGAACAAAGTATTTTTATCATAAAACCATAAAAGGTTAATAAATAATAAAGTTAAGATTAATCTGCTTCATTTTAAATTATTTTTTAGCAAAAACAAAATGTATAAGTTTCTAATTTAACAATTATTTACGTTAAGACTTTTGAGAAGTGCAGAGATTATTGTGAACTTGCGGGAAAATATTTTACGTTAATTTTTAGTTGAAATTAATAAGTACGGAGCTGTTTCACACGCTTTGAATTTCATGAAATTCAAGTTGCATTTCTCTAAAATCAGGCAGGTTTTTATTCTGAGTAATAAAATACTCAAAGAGATCAATAGAATAGCTGACTACAATTCTCTCTAGGGCATTGTGGTTATAGACCTGCAACTTTTCTGATTCTGTAATTTTTAAAAAGTACAACTTAATTTCATAAGTTTTGATATTTTAGTCTATTTTAGTATAATAAAAATAAAATCAATAGAAATAGCACCGATTTTATCTTGTCAAAAATAAATGTAATAAATATTTAGTAATGTCATTTTAAACCTTATTTTATCTACATTGCATTACTTCTAACTTACACTTTTAGTATCAATAAGACTATTGGCAGATGTATATTGAGCCTGTTGCTCAAATTCAGATCATGGTAAAATATTAAAGGTGTTTGTTACTGGCGTTAGCTTCTTTTGACGGAGATCACAATATAAAAATGGCAAAAAGTATTTTAAAACATAGGGAGGTCTGAAAAGATGTAAATATGGGTAGAATCAAAGCTGAAATCCATT